CCACCAGCCTGACAGATGAAACAGGTCAGCAGTCAGAAGGAGACTGGCACGGTATTAATTAGGGCAACAGGAGGCAGGCTGATGGTCTCAGTTCTGTTGGCTGAGACCAGGGATGCAGGTGGTGATCATGGAGACCAGGCCAGCCTCAGGCTTAAGAAGTGGGAACTCCAGAGGCAGACACCAGGGTTTCTGGCTGCTGAGGCTTATGCAGAGTCTGTGCCAGGCACTGCTCGGACCCCTTTCTCACACAAGGCTTTTAATCTACACAGTAGTCTGGAATAATCCCCATTTTATAAATGAGGAAATGGGGGCACAGTTGCAAGTGGCACAGTATGGAGATGTGGCAGTCTGGCCCTGTTCCAGAGTCCCTGTTCCATAGTCTTCTTGCCTCATGGCACTGGGGACTACCATTCACACAACTTGCAGCTTGTGGGGGCTCTTGAAGTTGGCTGATGTACGTAGCCCTGATTCCATACTACTTTCATTTAAAAAAAAAAAAGGCAAAGGACCAATTCTTTCCTTCTGCCTTCTATGTAGTAGGCATATATTAACTCATTAAATCCCAAGGCGTTATTATCTCTAAGTTACAGATGAGGTGCAGGGAGACTTCAGCACATGCCTGTCTAGGTCGGAGTCTAGATTTAAACTCAGAGGACTACTAAAAGGGACATAGATTGTGATGTTTTGTTTTCATTCCTTTGTCTGCCCTGCTGGTACCCCCTGTCTGAAGCACATTAGGGAGGGATATTACTAATGTTTACAATTCCACACAGATTTCCAGAGACAAAGATGTGGATTAGTACATGCAGAGCAGGGGAAAGAAAAAATAATTTAGCACACTTTGGTCACTTAGTAAAACTTAAAACCAAAGAGCACAAAAATCTGCAGGGTTGGATAGGCAAGCAAAGTTCTTAGGACATGTGTTGGTAGCCCAGCAGCCAGCAAGAAGGTCTTGGCTTTGCTGAGTCCAAACACTTATTTCTTGTCTCTTTCCTGATCTCTCAGAGTCTGCTGAGGAACATATAACTCACTGTCTTAGAATAGTTAAATTCCAGAGAAATCTAGATGTAAAATCAAATAGCTAACGTTCCCTTTGCTTCCAGATTTTACCAGTTATCTTGATTATGCTATCAAAAACTCAGAGCTAATCAGCTTTTTTCTCCCTCTTCTCCCTTTTCAAACAAATGGCAAAGAGAAATGTTTATCCTTTCTACTCCACCCAGTTCTATAGATTTTCTGTAGCACAAAACCTGGGAGTTGGGTACAGAGATCCAGATAAGGAGAAGGAACTCCATGTTTCTAAGGCAGGAACAACAATATTTAACTAAAAGCAATGCTCCCTGGTGATACAAAAATAGAGCTTTCTGGATTAATTAAGGACCCTACTATTGCCTCCATCAAATTGAACTCAGCAGAGGCATTTGCCAAATTGTAAGGACAGCTTTCCTACCAAGAATCATATGGAATTTACACAGACATTGTTCTATAGACAATACCTTTCCACAGGGTCTCTTGACTTTGAACTGCTGGTACTAATGAGAGATGACTTGAAGGAAGTGGATCAGAAACACATTCAGCAGAATGTTGTTTGGAGGCTACTTAGTGATGAGAGGTGATAGGGTCACTGAGCAACACCAGAAAAGGTCACTGAGCAACACCAACATGAGATGAGCCCCAAGATTTTCAGACTTGTTCTCATTGCAGCCTGAGGTAAGAGAAGTTGACTGGGAATGGGGGTGGTTTCTCTTTTGTTCTCTCAACCAGTCACTTAACTGGAGAACTTCAAGAGAGTGACAATCCCTTAGCTGCTTTTTATCTCTTGCTGCAGTGAAGTATGGCATCATTGAAATTTGGTCTTGGTAATTTGGACCTGGTAGAATTTCAAAACCTGGGATGATTTGAGATGATCAGAAACAGGAGTATGATGCCCCTACAACCTTCTACTTCTTAGCTAGCAATAGGATCAGAGAATCTTGGGGCAGAGATGGTAAGTTCCAAGTTCCTCTTAGAGTTCTGAGTATATAGCTCCTCAGAGTTCCTTGGGAGGTCCTAATTGAATCCCCCCCCTAGGGCTTCTCTGCAACCCTGGAGTCAGCCAAACTAGTGTGTTGAAACTTCTAGGTGACTTGTAGGTGCAGTACTTGATCTGTGTAGATGCAAGTGCTAGAGGCAGACTCCCAGTCTAATAGTTGATTTTTAATTGTCAGCTTGTGGGTGACCAAATGAGTTATGGTTAAGCAGTTTCAAGAGTGAAAGGAGTGGGAAAAATAGAGATTTTCCCACCAAAGTGACCTCCTTCTGTTTCACCCAATTCCTCTTGGGAACATGTCATTTGGCCCTTATCCCTTTTTCTGAAATCCCCATTAAGATGGGTGTGGGGAAAGGACACTCAAGAATTTAGAAAATTGTTGCTTTGAATAAAGTTGCTGTGAATAACCTTTCTGGATATTAAAATAAGGGCAGAATGAGCTGACCTCTGGGATGCCCTCACCTCTAACAGTTTGTGATTCTAGGTCCAGCATTTTTCTAATTTCCTGGGAAGCAGGCAGAGCCAACTTGCCGCTGATTTACATTTGTCTTAGTCTTTAAGAGATGTAGGTGCCAGACTGCTATGTTTAATCCATTGCTTTCCTTTTGACTTCCTTTCTAGGCAGACTTGTGTACTGCATGCATTAGTGTATCCCAGTTGAATCCTTGATCTTTAAAAACTTCCTTTAGGCCATCACATTAGCTGTAGGGAGCACTCTATAGCTTGGAGATGCAGGCAAGGAACCAAGCCTTGTACTGTTTTCTCAGTAAGGAATCATTTTTCTCATCTTGGTGAATTATGGCAATGGAGGCCTCTTTGCACCCATCCACCCCCAATTTATATTCACATCTAAAGATATTCAGTAACAATCTATACTCTCAACTGAAATGATAAAGTAAGGAAATGACCTGGAAAAGTTTTTTTTAAAAGATTTATTTATTTATGCATACAGAACTGGGGTACAGGCCAAAGTTGCAGGGGCAGTGAGAGGATTTACCAGAGACAGTGGGGAGCAGAACCGGCTGACTGACACTGAGGGGAGCAGTGGGTGGGTCAGGAGAGGTCTGCTGCACCATGTGGGTCACCTCCCGGGTGGGGATCGAACTTATGCTGAAGTGGCTTTAGCTTCTTAGTGCTGTGCTTTAACCTGCTGCGCCACCAGGGAGGGCCAACCTGGAAAATTTATGGAGAAAGAAAAGATCCTCTTGCCCAAATTTTCTATTGACTGTCTGGCTAAAAATTTCATATGACTATAGTTATAGAATTAATTAAAATAACAGACTCTAATGCATAAAGTTAAGTCTATAAACCGTGGATTCTGGCCTATTTTATGGAGGGAAAGGTGAAGTTATTCTGGGAAGTGATTTGCTCGGGTTACAGTGTTGTTGACATGTAAAACTGGCACTGAGTTTCTTCCCATGGAATCCTTCCAATTACACCCTCTTCAGCTGCCCTTTTCCCTCTGTATAGTCATGGCTGACATCCTTAAGGAACCCTAACATTCTGGGGTTCCGAAGGACGGATGAGTCCTCTTGTGATCTTTTATATTTGATAATGACTAAGTATTGGTGCTATTTTCAAATGGTTCAATTGTGTTGGGAAAACATTGATGGGTGAGCACAGACCTCGAAATTCTGAACTCCTATATTATATAGCTCCTGTGGTGCTTCGTGTGAATCAGGTTTGTTCCTTCGTCTTATGCTTCTCAGAGATACTGGCTAGAAGGACAGGTCTCATTTCCTAGGGCCAGCCATTACTGCGTTCCTAAGGACTGTGGCCAGTGCCTTCTGACTGACAAAACAGGGTTGTCATTGGGGAGTGCTTATGTTGCATGTTAGATATGTAAAGTGCTTTCTCTGAGTTCTTTCTTATCTCAGCTTGGCAGGTAAAGAAACTAAACATCCTAGAAGTGGTGACTGGTCCAGAGTCATCCAACCAATTAGTGGTGAAACAGATACTGCACTCAGTCTCAGAGTTTCTGGGTCATTGTTTACCCCAGTGAGTCATGGCACTTCTCTGGATTATGTTCTTTGCCCCTCACCAAACTCCATTTTTCCAAATTTAGCTGGCTTCTTTTTGAGTGAACTATAGCGCTCTTCAGTTTCAAAGCTGTTGTATCTTATTGGTTGACCAGAGAACTCTAAGTATCTAGGTAAGCTCAGTGCTAGGTCAAGCGGAATTGCAGAGTGGTGGGAACGAGGAGGGAAAAGAACAGTGCTGTTTTAGGAATATTAGAGTTTGGGTTTTGGAGAAAGATCAACTCTGTTTTTAGAATATGAAAGCAGTAAGTATTAGAAAGGAGATGAAGGATTTAAGTTAAGATATTGTCAGTTAAAAAATCATGCCAAAGAGATTTAAAAATTTACATCTAAAATAGGCTTTTGGATTCTTTTCAAACTTCGTTAGCTGGGTCAAAGAGGTATTTTCCTGCCAGTTAGATAGACTTCAGTGAGAATTCTGAAAACTTTTACAGTAGAAATTCTCACAAGAAATCTTACAGCTGTTTATTCTATTTGTGTTTCCTTTACTCATTAAAAAATTTAAATGACTTATTGGCTTAAATTACATCTGTGAAGTACAAATGCGGGGTAGAAATTAGTATCTGTCCACCTATTTGTATATACTATATACTCTGGAAATAAAATTTCTCCTCTGCCTCTCCACCCTCCCTCCAATTGTGAATTTAATTAAGGGATGAGCAGTTGTGTTTAGAGTATCCAATAGTCTGCCTTTACAAACATTCCAAGCAGCCTTTTAGATATTGATGAGTGTTTATTGCAGCACTGTACAATACAGGCGAAACAGGAAGCAGCTTTTTGCTGGGTAGGATGCTCCGAGTCACCCTCCACTCTCCCAGGGAACGCTCTTCAGCTGACTGAAGCAGGGGAGCTGAGCCAATCAGAGGCCGCTTTCCTAGCTCAGTCACCAGTCTGTGTTGAGGAAGGGTTTTGCTTTTTTATGCTCTGTATGGGGAAGGCAGATAAAATGCCAGGTCTGGACTGTCTCTGGGGATAACCTTACCCTATGTGATATGAATGAATAGCATCTTGCCTGGTAAATCCACAAGAATTAATAAGGCAGGCGCAGTTCTTTCAAATAGGCCTTTTCTATCTTTTAGCTCTAGCTGTGGCTTCTGTACCAATTTTGTTTTTGCCTTGAAAGAGGTGCTCTGGATTATCAGACCTCCATGTATGACAATTTGTACCTGCATGGAATTGAAGACTCGGAGGCTGTAAGTATTTTCATAGATAGCTGATTCCCTCTCCCCTCCTCTCCCTCCTCCCACTCCCCCCCACCCCCATCCCTCCTTATTTCTTAGGCAACGCAGGGAACATGGAGCAGAAAGCTAACATCATTCGGGGCTTGCTGGCTGCTGTGAAAATGTTCTCTGTATACTCAGAATTAATGGAAATTATTCTTTATTGTGTAATTTCTTGTCAAATGAAAAATGAAGGTGATAGCAGAGGCACCTAAGAGTGTAGGCTGCTCAGATCTATACATTACTCAATCCACATTTGATCTCACAAGGGGTAACTGCTCCTTGTAGACTAGTTTAAACTATGCAGAAAGTGCCTGTGTTTTCCAATAACAGGGTTCATAGAGGAGGCTCATTTATTATATAAAACACATTGTTTATTGAGCTAGCATGAATGGAAGTTCCTCAGCTGTAGCTGTATTATGCGCTTTCTGGCCAAACAAGAGGTGCAGATCTATTGCCTCTTTGTTAGGGAAATTAGGGGCAAGATTGTGGGCATCTGACACCCCTTGCAGAGGGAGTGGGTAGTGTTCTCACACTCTACCCTAGAAGACAGAAGTAGGTTCACTTGTTTGGCTTAAAAGACTAGACTCTTTTTCCCTCCATTGGTCAGTTACATGGACTCTATTAAAATCAGAGGATGGATGTGGTTTTCTGAAATCTCTAAAGTCATGCCATCAGAATGTTAGCTTTTGAATATAGGCTAACTGTCTACTAAATTTTTTTTTTTTTTTTTACTGTTACTGTTGGTACTTCTGTATTTCTCATCAATTATATAGCATGATTGGGGATGGCCAAGGGGACATGCTGTGGAAAGTATGAATTTTACACAAGTGCAATGCCATACATGTTGCTACATTTGAAATAGGAATGTGTTATATAAGGTTCTCTGGCTAAACCACCAAATAAACAGATTATAAAAAAAAAAAAACCTATGGTATACGTCAGTGCAGACGTATGTATCAAATGATGTGCTATCTGTGAAAGATAGAAGTCCTCTGTTCTGATAAGGCATTCCATTTTCCTTTCCTGTCTCTGTGTTAGCTCTAACACTAACTCTTTCCACAAAGTCTCTTCTGTGTGTTACCCAACGTGCTCGTAAATTATCAGACTGCCAGTTTACTGCAAGGGACTGTTCTGAAGCATTGGTAGCCGAAACAGAGGTCCCATTTGCCAGTGATGTGGGGAACGGACAATACAACTTGAGGAGGTCAGTCACCCAGCTTCTCTGCTGTGTTACTCAGGAGATCTGATTAGTTCTGCCCCTCTCTCCACACTCAGTTATGAAACATGTGATGCCTTATTCACTTGTAACTTATTTTCAATGCTTGATTTTAAACTTGGCTACTAAATTGCTCTTAAGTGGATGGAGTTTCTTCGGAATAGCCAGTCATTTTCGAGTCCGGTTGCTGTGAATAGAGCTGGCTAGGAACTAGTGTACCCAGCACTTTGTTTTCCAGAGCTGTGTACCTTTCAGATATTCTGCTTCTTTCTCCCCCTTTGCTCCAGCCTCTTAGGACAGCAGAGTGTTTCTGTAGAGTGGGACATGGAGAGTGCAGTGACTTGACTTGGTGGTGGTAGTTGATGGTGGAGAGTGTAAGTACTGCAGTGCTGTGCTCCTGGTGACTCAGTGGTAGCTGACAGGCTTAGCTGCTCTGGATTGTGCACATCTGCCGAGGTGAGAAATGGGACACCCAGGAATGAAGAAGGGTATCTGGTCAGTCCTCTTTGGAAAGTATGGAGGGGTGGGATTGAAAGGTGTCTCATAAACCAGAGGGGGAAGTCAGAGGTGTTCGGAGGGGTAAACTGACTCTGAATGCTCATTTGAGTTTGTTTGTTTTTATAAGGAAGAATAATGTGATGTGTTACCCAAGATGGTGTGAACAAAGCTTCAAGCCAATGAAGAAGACTAGGCCTAAATAGCTGACCTGGTGAAGTGAAAAGTAAAGCCACACCTGGAGTGCCACATCCTCAGCAGTCTTTCTCAGTGCCAATGCATTTATGGCTGTAAGTGTGGGGGTTTGCCCAGATTGAAGCACAGCTCTCGAACAGGTCTGGTGGATAGGCTTGGAGAGGCTTTCTCAGATGGCCAGCTGCAGTCCGAGCACATACAGGCACTAAAAGCTGAGTACGGCACTTCCTTTGGGGGTTGGGAGCCACTGGCCTATGTCCTACCACTCTGTGCTGTTGAAATGTCTTGTGGGGTTTAACATGTGATGAGCGATTATATTCAATGTGTTCACACAGTAAGTCTGTAATAAGAGCATCTCATTCTGACTAAGAATAAAGCATTTCATGCACTGTCAGCACCCCACACAGAACAATTTTGGTACTTTGAGGGGTGATTCTTTTTTTTTAGGAGTCTGGTCCAGAGGTTGATAGTATATTTCCAGACCCTGGATTTTATTTGTAACCTCTGTATTTCGTATGCTATCTATATATAAAGAGAAAGGAAGAAGACCCTACTGGAGTATTTGAAACTAGGCTTTTTAGATTCTTGAATCCTAGGTAGCCTTTTTGGATAAGTCATTAACTCCTGCTCCGATTTCTAGGAGGGGAGTTAAGTGTCAGCATTATCCAGAATTACAAAGAAATGCAAAAGATCCTTTAATGCTCTGCAGACAAACCCTGCATAGGAACTTGAGATTTCACACTGCGCATCATGGTTGTTCTCCTGTTATCCCAACATGGATAATGGAGCATGTGCTCCTGGATGAGTCCATATCTAGACCAGGCAGTTACATTACACATTCTCTGTTTGCCTCTGTGAGGGTAGTTCAGTCTAATTTAACTGCCCTCACTGGGCTTTAGTACAGGAGTTAGTGGCCAAGATGCTTTTCACTGATTGAGCCCCCAACATACACTGTCTTAAAGCTGATTCACAATAGATTTTGACAGATCTCCTACGTGGTATGCATGGTTTATAAATGCATTCATTGTGTATTTTGATGTTTGTGGAATCATGATAGGAATAAATTCTTTTCTCATTCAGCAAGTTTATTACACAATCAGAGGAGCATTTTTATAGGGATATGTGTAAAGCTGATAAAAAGCAAGAGTTACCTAAAGTTCACCACCCAGACATAGTTGCTGATAACATAGTGTTACCTATTCTTTCAGATAATCAATGCACATATATGTAAATATATCATTCTAAACCTGCTACTGTGCCTTGCATCCTAGTCTGTGAAATGCTGTTCCTTCTTGCTAAAAATTTTCAGCACACTAGGACTAGAAATGTCCTAATACTAGAGGTGCTTTTTTGTAAGATTTAAAGCTCCAGCATGCACCTGATAAGATTTTGAGCAATTTAAATAAAATAGTGAATCTTAGAATACTTTGTAAAGCCAGGGTTAGCTGCACACAAAATTAATGTTTGATTTCTCTGCACAGTTGCTTCCATTTGAAAGTGTTTAAATTCTATAGTATTTAGAGAGAGAGGCCTGATCTTTTACACTGAAAGAAAATAATCATTAGGTCATAATTCAAGAAAATATATTCTTTTAAGTGTTTCTCAATGGTAGAAAGGAGCCATGATATATTTATTAATACTGTTAGCAGTCTTATGTACATAAAGTAAAGGAAGGTAAAATTTACAAACTATGTGTATGTATCATCTGTATGTATTAAAGAACATATTTAAATGTATATGTACTTACACATTTTTATAAGGACAACTATATATTATTTAAACTATTTGTTTTCTATGAATGAGCTGTGTAATCATGTATGTTCACCTAAATGTCTGTTCTTCTGTGCCCATGTCACACTGTGCCCTCTCATTCATTCACACATGTTCAGTATAGATATACTCCATCTTTGCTAGTTGATGCTTAATACTAAGTGGGAGATTTTCACCTTAGAGCTTTTGGAGAAGGAAAATTAACTGCTTTTGACATATAGAAAGATAACCAAGTGAATTGAAACTTACTATATCCACAAGAGAATAAACAGTTTTACTTTCAATGATAAAATAAAGTTTTTTTTCAAAATACAAAGCTATGTCCTTGTGCTTGCTAGGGGACAGGCTTTATGTGTCCAGGGACATTCAGAAGACCACTCTAAGGATATTAAGGAGTAGATTTCTCTTGGAAATAAGATCAATGGTCTTTTTTGGCTTGGTGGATCAGAAAAACCCTTCTGGGGTCAGAGAGTCTTTCTGACTTATTTCTAGAGAATAAGGCTGTTCTGTAAGGGAATCCATGGTCTGGATGTTGGCATCACTGGTCACTGGTCAGAAAGGGAAGCCAAGTGCAACTCATGGTTTGCATTAGAATTTTGAGAAAATCAACTTGTTTTACTGAGGTGAGTGATTTTGCTGTTTGTCCAGAGTCTGTTTTAGGTAAATGATAGAAATTTATCTTCAAGCAACTCTTAGCAACAATTATTTTCTAAGTCATTTAATAATGAATCATTTATTAGTAAGTCATTCAAATGAAATGATTTGTAGATTCCTTAAATCTGAAAATAATCCATGAGTTTGCTTCTGCAAGGTCATCAGTACTATTGTTTTCTTGCTAATTTTCCATTTTCTAGTGATAGAGAGAAATATTAGGATCGTCTCACTATTCCCCAGGGGATTCTGTATCTCCTTTCCTGCTGGTGTTCTTCTTACTATTAGATTATCATGAGTTGATCACATTTTAGAAGATGGTCCTGTGACTTCACATGTACTCACTGAATATCACTTTACTGGGTGTTAGAAGGTATTCTGGTAGGAAGGTCTGCAATAGCTATGAAAAATGTGCTTTTAAGGGGGAGGTGAGGAGACATCCCATTGCCATTGCCTTTCTGAGTTTCAACTTTGACCTTATCTCTTAGATAATTCTCATTTTACTCAGTGTCTCCCTTTAATATCCTTTGCCTAAGTGAAAGGATGCCGCTCCAGGAGGACAAGTAGACATTAGACTGCTTCTCACTTTCCATTCTCTTTTCCCTCTTCCACTCGTTCTTTGTAATAGTCATCTAGTGAGAGCTCAGGTAGCCTTGAAGCCAAGTAAAACACGATACCTAGAAAGGTTTGTAGATACATACTCTGTGTATTCTAAACTAAATCAGGCTGGTTGAGATTCCTTTTATGTGTTTGCCTCTGGCCATGTGAACACAGCAATTGCTCTAGGATATAGCCCGGGACCTGAGTACATGCATGTGTTCTCATAAGGACAGGATGCTAGTCAGCTACTACTTAGTGAGCAAACTTAAGGGGACTTGGGAATTCGTGTAAAGTAATTGCAAGCAGACTGGGGGTTAAAAATTTGTATGCCTTGGATTTTGATGTTTTGAGACTGAAGAGTGTGAGTCTGAGGGGAAACTGTGCAGTCATTTTTACTTACTACTTAGTGATTTGCCAAAGGGAAGATTGTCCAGTGACATCACATAAGAGCTTTCAAGATTCAATGGCCAATACTTGTTTTCCTGCTACATTTATATTCATTTATAATATAAATGTACAGTTTTAATACTTTTGTTCAGGGGGATTGATATAAACAACACATCATAACATGAATCTGGGGGTCTGTCAGTTATTCGAAGCTTGATTTTGTAGTTGCATGAGTTCATTTACTTTGCCCTTTTTACTCCTATTACTCTTTAATATCTTCTTTTTAGCATTGGAATTATATAATATAAAGAGAATCTGATCTTCAGTGTAATCCTATTAGCAGATCTGTTGAAAGTTTGGCAAGTGGTTAGTTATTAAACGTGTTTCTCAATCATTTTTAACCTCCATAAAACTATTAAAGATTTTATCTTCTACTGAGTATATCTACTAGTCAGAAAAATGTCAAGTTTACTTTTGCACTTTGTATTATGAAACAGTGATGCAGTGTAAGAGTGTCGTGATTAAAAATCGAAATTCAGTGCAAGATTGTCAGAATTTCTAACTCCACTCTTCCTAGTGTGTCATTCTGGGTATATTTCTTAAACTCCCTGTACCTTTTGTGTCCACATCCCTCAAATGACAATAATAAAGGAAAGTACCTCTTGGGTAATTTTAAATAGTAGACAAATTAGTATGTCTACAGTCTTAAAACATGTTTTCTGCTATTATTAATACTATTCTTCATTTTATGACTATACTTGTGCATTTGAGAACTGAACACCTCTACCTTTGCAGGTTTTGATCATCCCACCAGACACTTTGGTTTATTTTGAGTACTTGCTTGTTTGTTGACTGGAATTTTCAAAAGTATTATATTGCTGTCATGTAAAAGAATGAAGCACTATTTTCTTGAGGATTAGGTTGTTGTGTTTTGTTTTAGAAAAGGGGCAGGAGAGTATAATGAAAAGAAGATTAGGACTTAAAGCCTTGGTCTTTGTGATTTATTAACAGTAACTTTTAATTTAAGTCTTTTCATTGTGTGAATCCTCAGTTTCCTTCTATAAAACTAAGAGGTTTGACTAGATTATTTCTCACGTTACTCCACATCCAAATTTTGTTCTACTTGCCCATAAATACTTTCTTCAGTTGAGATACAAATGCCACCATATACCATTGACATCTTGAAATGATCAGTTACTGTAGCATTCTGTGCATAATGGGTAAGGTGTTGAATCTTAAGTCTGGATATCTGGCCATTGCAAAATCTTTGAAGGAGGAAGGCTTGTGCATGCACACCTTTGAGAGCACTATATGTTTGAAAAGGAAATGTTTTATTTAAGATTTTTTTTTAAAATCTAGAAGCCAAAAAGGATTCTTATCTATTGCTCGTTTGCTTGCCAATACCCATGGTGCACTTCCAGCCCACAGAAATTTGAGCTGCAAACACTAGAGTCACAGCTCTAAAAAAAAAAAAAAAAGGCAAAAGCATTCTGAGAGGCAAGCTTCTCCTAACTCTTACTGATGACTATATAGAGATATTTCTGCTTTATAATAACCTCTTTTTCCTTCATGACTAATATAACCAGTTGTCTAAGCTATGTACTAGAAGAGTGAGAACAAAACCAGTTTGAATAATTGTCCTGTGATTGGTAAGTGATTTGGTATGATTGGTAATTGTTCTATTGTA